ATCGCAGCTATTGATTGGAATCTCCAAATAGATCTTCTGTTTAAACAGAGACTAATTAAATTTTAGGGGAAGCGAACATTACCGAGCTCCTGGGCACCCAGCTCAGCAGGCAGCCCCTGCAAGGTCTCCACTTAGAGCCAAGTCTCCTGGAAGAGAAGCCACTTCTGAGACATTAAGCCACAGTGAATAGCATGTTCATCGCTTCTTCGCAAATCTCCAACTTAAAAAAAAAAAAAGAGAGAGAGAGACTTTAGTAATTGTTCAACTTTGACAAGCAAATCTCATCCATGTCTGAGCTCTGTACATCATGATTCCACATTACCTAGCGCCCCTGCTAGCCCTAGGCAGTTGATGGTTTTTCTCTCATCCTTAGCACAACCTGGTATAGTAGGCCCTTCGATTATCTAACGCAACACAACAAACCATCCAAAATTAATAACTTAGAACAACAGTCATTTATTATGTTCTGTGGATTGAATGGGCAGTTTTTCAGCTCCATGTGACTGCATTCACCTGAAAGCTCAGTCGGGGCCTCATTTCTTCTGCAGTAACCTCTCTTTCTTGTCCTCCAAGACTTCTCCATGTGGCCATTCTCTCCAGTTGAATAGCCTGGACCTCCTTAAATCACAGCAGCTCCATTCCAAGAGGGGAGGGCTCTGAGAGGACACACCCCCTGCGTTCAGGTGCTTATGAAGGCACCGCCTGTGCCAAGCTTGCTAATGTCCCATTGGCCAAAGCAAGTCACACAGCCAAGCCCAGAGCCAATGTGATAGGGGGGCGACTATCAGGAAACTGTCTGCACAGTAGGTTCCATTCATCCCTCTTTTGTAGATGAGAGTACTGAGGCTCAGAGAGGCTAATCTCCTTGCCCAAAGTCACTCCACAGAGCTGGGAACAAAGGGCCCATGTCTGTTGACTCCAGGGAACATGTTCTTTGCTAACAATACTGAGTCAACGTGATGTAGGTGGAGGTTGTTCAGTGGGAGGGGGCAGGACCAGAATCCCAGTGAAAATGATGGCTGACCTTCCAGGCCTCGTTAACCCAGAGGACAGCCCAGCAGGTTCCCTGGCCCACCTGGTGACTGCTCTCCCTGATCACTACACCCAGCAGATCAGAGCCTGGGCTGTGCATGGCGGCGGGCAGCATTGGGAGGCATTGAAAACGTGCTTCAGGCCGCAATCCCAGTCCTTAGTCTGGCATTGTGGCTCCTTCTGCTCCAGCCTCGCTCCTCCCCCTCCTTAACTCCAGGATGGCTTCTGCAGCACTGGCTTGCTTATCCTTATTCACTCTATTTGGAATGCCTTCCCACTTCGAAAACTAGCTTATGTCTTCTGTAAGAATGAACAGCCCTCCTGGGCACTGCAGGCCCTGTGCTGCCCCTAATCCCAGCGCCTACTACACTGGGTGGTAACTGGTTGGCTCTTCTTTGTCTGCCCTTCTCTGCAGTAATCCTTTAGGACCCATCCCTGGCTCCCAGCAGCCATACCCAGCTATGACTGGATTGAAATGAAGGGTGTACGTCTTGGGGACTGTTCCAATTCTTAGCACAACGCCCATGTTTTTTCCGCAGCCCCCAAAGACTTTAGCAGACATCTTCTGGGTGTCTTCCTGTGCTGAGAAACAAGGGGGCACCGAGTCTGTTTGCCCCTTCTCTCTGGCTTGGGGCTGGACATGTGCCCCAAGTGATCTCTGAACCAGAGAGAAGAGCCACCCCCAGCCCAAGTCCTCCTGTGCCCCATCTCCCTTTGGGAACAGGCTGCAGGAGCAGAGGTTGGATTTATTTTTATTCCTGTGCAAAGTTGGGGGAACACAGCTGGCTCCCCACCTGTCACCCTTGTGTGCGTGTCTCACTGTAGGTGCCATCCCAACGGCAGAGGGCAGCAGTGACCAGCAAGCCCAAGAAAGAGATGGGTTGGGGAGGCAGGGGAAGGCGGCCCTCCTACAGGGCCCCGCTCACTTCACACCCATTTCTCAGATTTCTCCTTCTCTCCTATCCTTAATCTGGCTCTTGCTGACTGTCTCTACTCAGCAGAGCAAGGCCGGTAACGCAAAACTCCGAGAACCTTACCTCTGTAAAGCCAGAGGCTCTGATTTAATGGCCTCCAATCCCCTCATATGACAGTTGGGAACACTGGGGTCCAGAGAAGGGACTCGCTCAGCGTCACACAGTGAACAAGGGGCAAATGGAGTTCTAACCACTCCAGTGAGGAAGCAAGGCTCATTATGTGGAATTGCCCCGTATGAAAGAGCTGTCCAGAGGGAAGCAGGTGTTTGCAAATAGAGGAGATGCCTGTCACACCTGCACACATGTCCCAGTCTAGACCACGAGCTCCTGGACTGTCTCACCTCTAAATTCCAAGACTCTTCGGCCTCGTATTTCCGGGCGGGTTTTGGCTGCTCCAATAAGACGATGCTGTCTCCCGCTGGCACAGACAGGCTGGCCTCCTCATGCTGTCTTCCCTTCAGCACACCCGGCACCTGGCAGGGCTCAGGGAAGATGCGAGAGCCTGAAGGTAGTGGGTGGGAGTGGTAGTGAGCACAGCATAACCAGAGGCTTCCTCCCCTTTCTCCTACGGTTCCCCCGAGACCCTCCCAAAGAGCTTCCTGAGCATGTCTGTGCTTTCATATCATCTCTGTGTTTTCATCTCATGGTGGTCCCCTGAAAACCCCTCTCCCCAGCCCTTCCTGTCCTCTGCTTCAGCTCCATTCTTATGTCCTTCAAGGCCCAGCCCTGGTACCTTCTCTTCCCAGAGCCTCCCTTCTCTGATTCTCATCTGGGCTTCTGCAGCCTCTGGTCTGTAACTCTGGTGACACTGGGCACCTAGGGAAGCAGTGTAGTCCAGTGGGGAGGGGGACTTCAGAGCCCCACCCGTCTATGCTTTGACCTGGCTCTGCCAGCGACCATCTGGATGAACTTGGCAAGTCTCTTAACCTGATCTGTAAAACAGATGCTAATCCACGCTCCAAATAGGAGGATTTAGAGATGGCACAGGAAGTGCCTGGAAGAGCTGCTGTTCGTACCTACAGTTGGCTATTTATGTCTGAGATCATTCTCTGTGAGATGAACAGCTCCTTGAGGGCAAAAGTGGGGTCTTTTTGGTGTCCCAAGACGTTGCAAATATTGAAACAATGAATGAATGAATGAGTGAGTGAGTGAATTCTGGCGATGGGCAGGGAACTCTGAAGTTCACCTTTCACCAGCAAGATGCAGGACAGCAGCCCCCACCCTGCCCACATACAGTGCTGAGCCCCAGGAAGCCCCTCCTCCCTTCTCAGTCCCATTCTCAAGCCTTGCACTGAGAGCCCCGCCCTGATGACTTTTTTCTTTCCTAATTACCCTGTTAAATGGAATTTATGAAGGTTTTTGTAAATTGTGAAACTGATTTGCATATTTTAGTAAGAGCATGTGATGGACCGGGAGTATTAGGCTGCAAATTTTCTGTGATGAAATTGACTTGAGCACACTCTGGATCATCAAGGTGGGGGCTGCCCCTCCCGCAGCCTCTAGGGGCTTCTTGCTCAAGACTGACAACTGTTTTTTGCTTGGCAGACCACTGTGAGCTGGGATGGGGACAAGCTCCTGTGTGTGCAGAAGGGTGAGAAGGAGGGACGCGGCTGGACCCAGTGGATTGAGGGTGATGAGCTGCACCTGGTAGGTTCCTGGGGTTGTGAGGAAGTAGGGCAGGCCAGGCTGGGCCTTGGTTCTGCTCTGAAGCTTCTCTTCCTAGGGCCTGGAGAAGATGCTTGAGTGTCTTTAGAAAGAGCATTATTTTTCAAGGTCTAGGCTGACCAAATTGTCCAATCAGAGGGAGAAGGTGGGGAGGTACATCTTCCAAACATGAGATATGGAGCTAAGCCCGTTTGCATTTCATAATCTGTTTCTATTCTCTCAGAAGCCCTATGGGTCAGGTACTGTAATGGTTCTTATTTTCAAGATGTGGACATGGAGATTCACATCCAGCTTACATAGCTAGAAAGTGGCAGCACTAAATTTGGTCCCAAGTGATGTCTATCTTCGCCATACCAAATTGTGGCAGACAAGAACCAAGGAGAGTTCACTAAGACATGATCTCAGGAGTCTAGGTCAGGGGAGAAGCCATTCTCAGCTCAAGTGTGGGTCTCACTCATCCTGTCCTTCAATCTGGGGCCTCTGATCAAAGAAACTTCTACTCCATCCATTATCTGGGAAAAGCAAGCACAAATTGAGGATAGGTGCCTTAGCCCCTGGAAGGCTAAACTAAAACATGTCTTCTGAAAGGAGACCTCCCATTACTCCTTCTTCCCCCTTAAAACTCCGCAACTACCTTCCTTCTGAGAAGGAGCCTGGTCCAGGTGATGTGGGTTTTAATCCTGACTCACTGGGTGCCTTTGAGTGCCTTCCTTCAGCCTCATCTGCAAAATGCCATTCTACCACATAAGGGTTCTGCAAAGATCAGGGTCTACAAGAGCTTTGGGATAGACAAGTGCATGCTGAAAAGAGACACAAGGGCATTGTCTCAGAGCCAGCTTAGGTTAGTACAGAGAACCTGGGCTGCAGTGCCTGACCTTGAGCATCTTCTCCTTGGGCCTTTACTTCTTCAACTGCAGAGCAATAAGGGTAGATTATGTGATCTCTATTGGTCCTTTCAGTGCCATATTTCTGTGGCTCTGTGCCAGAGATTGCTAACTGGGGGCCACAGGTCTCTTTTATTTGACCATCAATGGGCTTCAAACTTCTTTAGCCAACAATTTAAAAATTAGATGTCACATAAATATTCTGATTTCCAGCCTCTTAAAAAAAAAAAAAAAAAAAAAACTTAGAAGATATGGCAACACTGTGCTGTCATTTCCCCTGGCAACACTCAGCAGGGACTGCCCTATAAGCAGAGCATGGGCTTTCTTGCTTGTATTTAATATTACCTGAAGTTTTTGATAATAGCAACTCCAGTATTCCACCCACTGAGGTACCAATATAACTGGTCTAGCCTGGGCCTAGGCATTTTTCAAACTCCCCAGGTAACTCCAACGTGTAACTGAAATCTGGAACCACCATGCTAGTTTGCAACCCTAGTCTGCAGCAGCTTATTGAGCCCCTTAAAGGTCGAGCCCTATGTCTGGGCCTGATTTCTCCCAAGCCTGGTCACAGACCCTCCTGGGTTCAGGCCTGAGGCTCTTAAAGCCTTTGGCCCCCTGAAGGGGAGGAGAGGCATCAGAAGGTCCTATTGGTCAGCTCTGAGCCACACTGTTTCCCCACTAGTTCTGTCTATAGGCCGTTGTCGGGCCTGATCTCCACTGACCCAGTTCAGCCATCTTTCCAAGGAATTGGTCGGTTCAAACCAAGTCTTGGGAAAAACAGCAGCCTGAGTATTTTTTAAGTTTCTGCACCTAGATGCACTAAGCACCGAGTGTGACCTTGTTCTGGATAATGACGAGCATCTGTTTTTATTTCAGGAGATGAGAGTGCAGGGTGTGATCTGCAAGCAAGTATTCAAGAAGATGCACTGAAGCCCGGGCAGACCTTGGTTTGTGGAATGAGTGGCTTGGATGTATGGTCCAGGAAGCCCCTCTTTACATAGCATGAGGTAGAAATGTCCGGCCACCCCCAAGTATCTGTCAGCAGTCTGTCTCTCGGCTGTCTGTCTCTTTTCCTTTTCTTAAAACAAAGCCATTTCAATAAAAGTGATCTCTGCTCAAGGCTTCAAAACCCCACTGTGCTCACTTTTTCTCCAGGGCTTCTGAAGTTGGCTTCTCCTGATGCCACTTCTGGACAGAAAGGAGAAATTCAGCCACATGCCTACAGATTTAGTCTTGACATTGCACCTGTGTGACGGTCGTTCCCCAAGGGTACAGGCTTGGCCCAGGGTGTGTGGCCTGACATTCAGTCACATCTGTACCTACCACGTTACATGTCCGGTCAGGGCCAAAGTGCAGTGAGTGCCACAGAAGCAGGAGAAAATGCCCTTTACCCTGGGAACTTAGAGCCTAGTTAAGGGGATCTGACCAACAGAGATCTCTAACTCTGCATGGACACAAAGGATGTTCTAAAAGTTATTTATGAATGAAATGGAACGGGATAGAATCATAGACCCAAAGGGAGAATGAAGTAAACGTTAACCAGAGGCTGTCGCCAATTGGATTTGATTTCAGAGATGTTATGAACACATCCTTCACCAACGCATAACCGCCCCACCTCATCTATGGGCTGATGCAATCCTTCCTTTTCACTGTTTTAGTTGAGACATAGCTTACAGATTCCCCTAGAAGAGGGAAAACAGCTTCATGTTCACATTAAAATGTAAATGATTGCCAGGCTACAGCCCAGACCTTGTAATTCAGAATCTCAGGAGGAAGGGGACAAGTTCCCCGGGAAATGCCACGCCGCGACAAAGCCTGTGAAGCGTGGATCTCAAGAACGTATGTGAGTAGGAACAGAAGGGGGTCCAGGGCTAAGCAGGGAAGCATGGATGCCAAGAGCAATGTTTGCAAGAGGAGGAAAACGTCATCTGTAACTGAGATAAGATGAGCAGAGAAACCGAAGGGTCTAAAGTGAGGAGGTGGGAGACCATGGATAGGGAAAACCGCTGGGAAAGGGAAGGCTTACATCGAGGACCCCCCTCAACATCAAGTTCGCCTAGGCCATGTCCTGCCTCGGAACAAGTACTGGGTTAAGGAGTCAGATGAGCAGAGTTCGAATCCCAACTCCGCCACCTACAGGACAACACCACACCTCCATGGACCTCACTTCTCTAGTCAGCAAACCATAATAATCCACCTTGCCTCCCATGCAAGGGTGGTGAGGTTTGTAATGCGTATAACACCTGTAGACCTCCAAGCCTTGGACCAATGGCTCTCAGACTTAGCTGAACATTAGAACAACCTGGCAAGCTTTCAGAATGCCCTATACCCAGGCCACTCCCCAAGACCAGTTACATCTCAAGGTGAGAACCACTCATCGGTATTTCTTTAAGCTTCTCAAGTGATTCTAATATGCCACTGGAATCAAGAGCCATTCCTCTAGACCAGTGTTTACAACCTGGGGGCAATCCAGCCCCCATCTAGGGGCATTTGGCAAGGTCTGGAGACGTATTTAATTTAACAGCTTGAGGGGCTGGTGCTACTGGCATCCCTGACCTCTGCCATTAGATGCCAGCAGTGCTAACCCCCACCCAAGCTGTTAAAAATGTGGGCAGAGGCCACGGATGCTGCTAAACATCCTGTAATGCACAGGACAGCCTCCCACAACAAAGAATTACCCAGCCGATATGTCAAAAGTGACAAGGTTGAAAGTTGAGAAACCCTGCCCTAGACAAATGTAAGAAATGTTTAATTTTTTTTTTTTTTATCAGAGTCATATCCTTAGCTTAGACCAAGGAAACTAAAACCCAGAATTGCCTTAAGATTTGGGATACTTGTTCACCTTCGTGGCCCTTGGCTATGTCCCTGAGCATAGAGAAATTAAAGGCAAAGGCTCTTGTAAAGACCATTCATTCATTCATTCATCTATCCATTCATCACATAAATGTTTGATGAAGACCTATTACGTGCCAGGCACTGAGCTAGGGACACATCTGTTAGTCATCCAGGATTTCTCACCCCAGATATTGAGACCCCCATTAGACCACCTCCAATGTAAAAATGCCTCCCTCACCAGGTTCTGATGGAGGACTCACAGGTGTAGCCCTGTTAGCGTGAGTGTACCTGTGATGTAGGGCTCATGGCTCCACCCTTGGAGGACGCTAGTCCCATGAGAGACTCAGCCCTACTCTGATTGAGTAGCTTGAATACCTGGACCTATTTTAGCGAGCAGTGAGAGTCACAGGTTTTTGAACAGGGGTGGCCTGGCTTTTCAGCAGAACTAATCTGGCAGCCGTTCTCTCAGTAGTAAGAAGAGAAAAGTACAAGGAATACCAGTTGGAGCATCGCACAGGGCAGTCACATTTAATTCAAAATTCACTTTATATGAGACTAATCTTCCACAAGAAGAAGTATATGTAAAGTCAGAAGGATGTTTCTTATTGTGTGTAAATCTGGAACCACAGAAGAAGGCTTCTGGCTTTAATGTTGCTTTCCGTTTGCCCAGCACCATCTCCAGTATTGTGCAGGGGGCTTGCTCCTGAATTTGGCAGCAGCATATGTCAGCTTGTTCAGCCTTTTCGTGGCTTTTAGCACCTCTCAACTCCAGTCCAAAGCTCTTGATGCTAGCTCCAATTTTGGAACACTACCGCAAGCTCCACCACTTAACTGACACTTGGATGCCATTGTTACAGGATATTAAAAAAAAAAAAAAAAGATTTTCAATCATAACAACTCTGTTTGATAACAACTGGGCACTAGTAATGGACTCCCTGAGTTTCCAAAGCATGGCAACAATACCATCATGCCCATAGGACTCGCCAGCTCACCTGGTGCCACTAGGCTGTGGAAATAGCATCACTGCATCTCACAGTTCCCTGGGTCCGCCAGCTTGGAAAGGTTTTTTTTGACATTTTTTGAACTGAAGAGTTACAGTATTTCAAAAAACACCCTAAGTGAGAATTTATTAATATAGTTACATCACACAACTTCGAATTTTTTTTAAAAACTAGGACCACCACATGCAGCAACTAAAGCAGGAAGTGCCGAGCCGAGGCCAAGCCTAAGATAATGGCAAAGGCAGCGAAGTGAGGGGGCTGAGTGCCCAAGCTCTGGAACCCTGTGACCTGGGTTCAAATCCAGCTCCGCTACTTCCTAGCTCTGTGAGGTTAAGGCAAGTCATGCAGATCACTCTGTGCCTCAGTTTACCCATCTGTAAATTGGAGCTAACAATTCCTCACAGACTTTTTGTGAGAATTAAATGAACCTAACACATGTAAGCAACTTCGAATAGATATATGGTATGTTTTATTTCCAAGGAGATTTAAACAATTCCTGGCATATAACAAAGCAATTTAAATGTAGGTTAATAAAAAGAGAGAGAGAGAGAGATCTGAGAGGCACTTCAGGGTTGCAATCAACGTGACTTCATTGCCGCTGACACGATGTGATGTGGGTGGCAGAAGAGCAGGAGCAGCTGAAGCTCAGTGGCAGCCGAGAAGCATCGAACAAAATTCAGGAGGGATGGCTCAGCTAGGGCAGGAAAATTCCAGGAGCCTCTGAGCCAGAAGGAGGGGCTAGAGCCGGGCCTCTCTGACCTCCGGGGGTGCAAACCCTAATGCAAGTCCTCTGCTATCCACCACCCCAACACACACAGGATACTGATTGGGACCCCAGGATTTCTAATACAAAGACATGGTGAGCCTCCATGACAGGGCTGGCAGAGGATGGACTTTGGATCCTGAGTCCCCAAGCCCCCTTCAATGTCATTCTCTGGGAAGCCTCTAAAACCTTTCCACAAAGAGAAAATTCTGGCAAGGCAAACCCCAAAGACCTCTCTGGAAGCCCTAATTTATAACCTCTGTCTCAATTAATTAGGATACCACTACTGTTCATTTCAGGTGCAAATTAAACAGCTCAACACTGCACTGCAATTAAAGTCTGCTTAATCCTCCTAAATGCCCCTTACCTACACCAACAGATGGGAGCAACCTTCCCACACCACCCACCCTCACCTGCAACTCTGGGTCTTCCCACTCTGAGTCCCCAGAGACTTCACTAATTCAGCTTCAGCCTTATATCGCATCCCTGAGCTGGAGACCTGCTAATCACCCAGGTCACAGAAAAGGGTCTTTGCTCTGAGAAAGTTGGGACAAGGAACAAGATGGCTGTCTCTTCGGAAAAAAGGACTCGATTCACTCTAGGAAGGACACTTACCAACGATGATATCCCCATTTCCCCTCTAATAATCCAAACCCTACCAATCCTTCAGAGAAAACTTTGGGGAGCCCACAAACCCAGCCCCTTTCTTTGAGTTGATTCTCTCAAGGGTGATCCTAGCCATTTCCCCTTTTTGAGATGCCCACAATAAAGAAATACCAGAGTAGAATGACAAAAAGTTGTGGTTTATTTTAAATGGTTGCATGTAACAAATTAAATAGTTTAGCACACAAAAATGCAATGTAATATAATTATGTTGTGCTAGTTTCGAGATAATTATAGAATTTATAAAATTTATGAATTTATAGTATACCCGAGGCAGTCTGGTCCAAGAGTGGTACACAAGTTTAAAGCTGGATCATGAACTTCGTTCTGTTCCAATCCTGTCTCTGTGACCTTCACGTATAACGTATTTGGTGATAGTGTCAAAAGTTGAAAAGCCCTTAACGAATGTGAGGTCCGAGCCCAATATCACAGGCTCCTACTGGAGGCCTTGTTCGAACTCCTAACTTAACTCTCAGTTTTACCATTGGCTTAGACACTCCCAGTGGACATCCATCACATTTGTCATCTTGCCAACAACTCTCCCATGTTTGGGGAGTTTCTTTCATTAGGAATTTTACCTCTCCAAAGTATTCATGGAAGGAAAAACTAGCTTTTGAGGCTACTTTGCCAGGCCCCAGATATGAGACCAACTTTTTCTCAGCTAGATATGCCTGAGTGAAGAAATTCGGAAAGAGAACCATGTGAGGGAGGTGGACAATGCAGACTTGATGGAGGCAGCAGAGAAATGGGCTTCGGGCTGGCGCCAGTGGCAAAGCTTCTACTTTTCAGTTTCCAATATCATGGAGGCTATCGACACTGGCAACAGGCACAGAATAGAGAGGCAATCAGAACCATGTGCTTCCTATA